TTTTTTTTTGTACTTTTTATATTTTACATTTATATTTATTATTGAAACTTGCACCAAGGGAGTGGCACTCCAATTTCGTTGTACTCTGTACAATGACAATAAAGGCTATTCTATTCTATTCTATTCAGGTTACTGCCAGGACTTGCTGGGAAGTCCTGCCAAGGAGGGGTTAACATTAATATCGCACTACAGCCAAATCCTTTGTTTAAAGAATGAACACTATGGGTGTATTTTATTTAGTTTGAAATTTTTTCTCTGGATGTTTGAATTAGTTTTAAACACAAACTGCATTCTCACTCTTCATTATGAGCATATGGCACGGGGAAAACAGGTACATAACTATGACACGAGTGTAGTCTAAACTAAGAGGAAAGAAATAACATTTGATTTCGTTCCCAAAAAATACATTGCAGGACTCTGTAATAACAAAGCTTGACTACCCTTTGGCAGATTACAGTATAATAAAACCAATGGATTGTACACTATACTATACATTTGCAGATAGGTTTTACAAGCACTAACTGATTTGTAAAATGCTGTAAATTAAATTAAATCAGAAAAACACTGTCATATCATAGATAGACTAGAAAATAAACAAACGATTGATCGATACAGGTTGTCGTAAGCTCTATGCAGACAGGTACACATACCACCAAGTCAGATAATGATTGATGGGCTAAGGGAGGAAGACAGGATGAATTGAATGTCACATATTTTGACAAACTTGAAATATCAGGAAAGGGATTCCATTTGTGATAATCAACTGCCAATTCCTAAAGTGTCTAAATGAAGAATGAACCATGGTTCCTCCTCAGCTATAAATAATAAGTCCGCCTAATCTGTGCAGCAATTTATTTTGACAGTTAAATGATTATGTGTGGAGAAAAACATCAGCATGATTATTGTCCATTTGCCACTTAAGGTTAAAGTTAACTTTTAGGCCAATCTTATGGATTGTTATTTCATGAGATTGATCTATATACGTATATACCTGTGTGAGAGAGTAAAATCAGTGTAGTTATTTTGAAAAATAAAAATTATCTTCAGGTTTGCTTTGAGTATACAAAGTCAAGCGTAATCAGAAGAGACTTTACATCATTTGGTCAAGTGACCTTTGACCTTTAACTTTAAAATTATTGACTTGCAGGTTACCAATCCTCCAGGGTGGCACATTCAGTTTCATCACACCAACCCTGGCAATTCTTGCATTACCCAAGTGGCAGTGTCCTGTGCCAAATGCACCTGTGAAACCATTGGTGCAGTTTCATAATGGCACCAGTCCGCTACAAATGGAAAATTCAGATGAGGTCTGGATGACAAGAATGCGTGAGGTATGTTCACTTGTGTGGTTAAAAAAACAAAACAAGGTGTGTGGGGGGGGGTATAAATAAGCAAAGAAGTGAAAAATATGTTGTCAAGACTTAACATTTAAATGTGAAGTTGAATTCATTTTAAGTCCCTCGACAAAAAGGAAAAAGGACAGTGTGAAGAACCCAACGAGAGAAAAGCTACATTAAGATTTCTGCGTCACCTCAGCTTGGGCACAGATATCGGAAGGAAATACAAAAATACAAATAAGTACAATCAATGAAGATAGATAGATAGATAGATAGATATTTCTCATCAGAGGCCGCACAGTACATACTATTTAGAAACTGTGGCTAGCTGTCAATGTGAAGTTCTTTGTTAGCATGTGCTCAAATTACACAACTGCTTGAATTCTGCTATTTTTAAATCTCTAATAGACAGTCTGTTTCAATTTTATCTGTCCTAAATTTCAGATTTTGGGTCAAACCAGTGAAAATGTCAGACTTTTAACTTGAACAGTTTTTAGAGTTTCATGTTCTAAAACTGAGTTCTGCAAAAGGCCTAAAACTTAATTTTGAAAGGTTAAAGTCAAACGAAAGCATTATAATGGCAAAAGATGCACAGCATTTAATTTTAGATATGAAACCTTTATGTTGGCATAGGGAATGACATTACGTCCTTATTGTCTTATCTTCCACAGATCCAGGGAGCCATTCTGGTATCCTCTCTCCTTCAGCTCACACTAGGCTTATCTGGGCTGGTGGGCCTTGTGCTAAGATATATTGGTCCTCTGGCTATCGCTCCCACCATCAATCTCATTGGTCTGTCACTGTTTACTGAGGCTGGAAAGAAGTCTGGAGGCCACTGGGGAATAGCTGCTCTGTGAGTTAAAATCCAGATTAGCTTTATGTCGGAAAAGATGTTGAAAGAAGTCTCTAAGCTCATCAGAAGTGTCTACCAGTCCTAATTCTGTCTTTATTATATCAAAGCATATAATTCTAACTGGACAGGAAACCCATATTCACACGTTGCTTTACTTGCCACTTGCCTCTATGGTTGCTGTCAAAAGACATAGACTCACCGTGGACCTGAATGTTTTGGTAATACTGAGCTTTCCATAATTCTTCTGAAGTGAATGCTTGCAAAGAAAGGTTTTATGTTCAAATTAGACAGAAATTAAGTTGACCATAGTTAACACAAGTATTGTTGGAGGAGTGAGGCTCAGGCATTCAACCCCAAATAAAACTATACCAGCTGTTAAGCACAGAGCTATAACAACGTACTGCAGTGTACCAGTGGAAATGGTACAAAACACAGTGGACTTAATAATTACAGTGGCAGACTACTTCAGAGTTCTTCATTATAGCTCGAAAGCATCAATTGTAACTTAGATACAATTGGGTATTACAACAGGGCAATGACCCCAAGCACACATGGGCTGGTGTAATGAACTGGTTGTGAAATGGATAAACCAGGGCAATGGTAAGCTTTTGCAACACCTTTCTCAAAGTCTTAACCTTAAACTACAAAAATGTGAACAATGCTTGAAAGTCAGGCAAGAGCTACCAAAACCATCTGTGGAATATGCAACTTGCTAAAGGACATTTGATCAAATATTAGATGTAAGACAGATTTAAATGCATCACACATTTATATTTGAGCACTTTTTGTACATACGGTTCATAACTGTAAGTTTATAAGTTTCTTAAGTGTGCTTTCAGGAGTGTAGCTTGCAAATATCTGTTGCTGCCATCGGGCTGTCTCTCACTCCTTGCAATTCCATTAAATGTGTCAAGGGAGCGTTAGCTCACCTCTGAGTGGGGGGCCTCCACATGTTAGCCTATCTACATGATTGGTGGGTCAGAGTACGTGCAGAGATGCAGCTGGCTCTGTCTGTGTTAAACATCCAAGCTCTGGGTTTCTCTGTGAAATTTCAGAGGAGCTTCCTAACCTCAAACCAGCAGAACATTTTCCTCAGGCTGGAAATTTCTTTGATTTTTCCTTTTTTTGTTTGCCAGTGGCTACATTTGATTGTGACACATTTCAAAATGATCTTAAAGATGGTATCTGTCATTGTCATAGTGCCACTCACACTGTTAAAAATGATGTTACAGTTCTGTACTCTTTCTCACTGTGGGCATTGTATCACCTTTAGTTGAGAGTGACAATAACCACACCTTCTATGCTAGCTCTCTGCCCCTGAAGGGAGTCCAGGATGCTGCACCAGTGCTCTCAGACTCGGAGGATGTCACTTTCCAAGGTGGTATGCACAGATGTCTCTGTGCAATGGTGCATCGATGAGAAGAGTCTGAAATGCAGTGCAGCATGAGCCACATACCAGTGCTTACCAGCACTCAAGCATTTTCTGTCTCTTAAGAGCCACCCATGTTACAGGCCATCTGAGGCTCTTCTCTCTGGAAGCACTCTTTGTAGAAGCTCAAGTATGGGATATATTTGGCCAGGCGGAAGTAGATCTTATTGCCTCCAGGGCGAACACTCTCTCCTTCTGTTCTATGCCATACCTGGCAAAGAACAAAGACCCACTCTACCTATGAGAGCAAGTCACCTACTAATCATGAGGTTGGTGGTTCGATCCCTGCCTGCTCCTTGGGCAAGATACTAACCCCAAGTTGCTCTCCGATGCAATGTGTGAATGTTAGATAGAAAGCTCTTGTGTAGAAGAAGCATACAAAAAGAATTATTTTATGAACGGGTATGAATCGGTGAATGAGTCAGTGTATAGTGCTTTGAGTACTCAGAGCAAAGTAGAAAAGCACAACATAAGAACCAGTCCATGGGAAGACGTGCTCTTAAATGCATATCCTCCAGTAGAAATGATACTTCCAGTTCTAGAAATCACTTTTATAGTTGGGCGCTGTTTTGATTTGAGGTCCTCTCTCTCCTCCGAGCTGATCATTCTGAAGCCAGTCTCCTCCTCTTTGGTAACTCCCATGACCCCTGTGTACTTATATCCATCTTTTCTGTGTGCCAATAAAGGCTGTGAATCTATTTGATTACCTTTTCCATTGGCTCTGCTTTCTGGTTCACCCTTGGTATTTAATCACACAAATGATGCAAACCTACAAATAAAACAACAAGAAGCCAAAAGAGCCTGACAAACATGAATGCGGACACTTTGAAATGGACACTGAGAGAAATCAAAACACCAAACCAAAATCCTAAAATAAAAATAAAAATAAAATCTTCAAATACTATAACCACCATGAACATCGACCATTAACCAAGACTGAAATATGGGGTCAAATTCAAAAACCACAATCAGTCTCAAGCATCATGACATTAATTCTATATTGACAAATTTACCCTCATTTATTTTTAAAACATAAATGCCGACTGTGTTAATCCACATCTCCAGCTAAGAATTGTGCCCTGTCTAGTGCTACCCTGTGAAATCTGTCTTCATTTAACATTTCTATCTTGAGATAATGCAGACTAATCCTGTTATATAGAGAGATATTTGTGGGTTTTAAAAGGTTGAGCACATCCACCTCCTGGTGCCATATATGGATAGTAATCAGTCATATCCTTCATAACTTCAGCAGTCTCTCTCTGGCCCTCATCCATCAATAGAAGTGTCAGTCCATATCCTGCAGCTTGTAGAAGCAGACATGGACAGCTTATTTGTAAATCACCTCTTTACTTCTATCTGACCAGTATTCATGCACAGTATGACATCTTTCATCACATTTAAAGTGTTACAAAAACATATCATTTTCAGGTGTCAAGTACCAGCCATGCCTGTTGTGTAAAGTGGCATGTTTTCACTTGCCCTGACCTCCCTGTAACAGTGAACCATGCCCTGCTAAAAAGAAATTCCACAAATAGCTGGAAGCAAGGGCCAAGCCTTTGGGGAAATTACTATGATTAACACATTTTATCCCATTTTCTTTTTTCCTATAGCACAGTGGGTCTGATTCTACTGTTCTCCCAATATCTCAGCAACGTTGATGTTCCAATGGTTTCTTACAAGAATAAAAAATGGATGGTGTTCCAGTATCCACTCTTCAAGCTGTTCTCTGTGAGTTGTCAAAATTTCCAAGTCTAATATGTTTCACTTGCTTTCCGTTGTGATAAAAAAAGATCAAATTAAATGATGGGACCCCAAAAAAACAGTTTCGACCATCCTAACCTTGCTTCATAAAAAATTTAATGAAAAATAAGTTGTGAAATCATGTGGAGTCAAGTCAAAGTCTGCCAGTCAAGTTAGACTTGAAAAAACTAAATGTTGTCTATTTGTATAATAGACAACATTTGTATACTGAAAACAAGTTTACAATTTGACTTTTTGTTAAACACTAGTATGTTGAATCTGCCTTTTAACTCTGTGTAGGGATGATATTGCCTCTACTTTTAAACATTATTATGGCAGTCTATAGTGCTGATAACATTACACTGGGAAAAAAATCTTTTGAAAAAATCGTTTTGAAAATAGAAAGAAAAAATAATATAATTTATTTTTAAGCTGTTGTTCTTTCCTCTTTCATGTTCATGCAATGGGATACCTTGAAAGTGTCTGTGCTCGGCTGAAACACAATCCGTTTGTGGCTCCCAAGAAGACAACAAGCATCAAAACTTGGCATGCTTTCAATAAACATTTTTCTAGAATGAGATCTGTTTCATATCAGCAGCTACATCTCTGCTGCAGATAAAAGAAAATTTAAAAAAGTTTTGATGACAGCATCATCCATGGCTTTCTTTTTAAGCTACTAAACAAATAGAGAATTAAAAGAATGGCAAAAGATCAAATGGTGGGTAGAAATATTTCCAGAAAAGTCTGAAAACACCAACAACATCTAAATGCCTGTTGATATTAGAGTAAACAATGCTTAACTGCTCTAGCTATTCATCAGTATTCATTATCATAAAATATGGTATTTTTCTTTCTATCTAAGAAAAGATTGTGTACACATAATGTGTACCCACACATAATATGTACCCACAAACAAAAGTACACACAATCTTCTGTCAAGTCATATTCTTTTTTAGGCTATCATTATAATGGATATGATACTTGGTAACTGAAATCTTCTAGAATTAATTATCTCAAGTTTACCCATGAACTTTCCATGAATCCCACTCAGTTATCTTCATTCATGGATTCTACAGATCAATGTATCATGATGACTTTAAGGCAGAAATTTAGATAATATAATGAGCTCATTCTGCTTGCATGTTTGCCTGACTATGAGTTATGCTTTCACTTTCCTCGATATGTCCTAAATAAAAGCATTCATGTGCACAGTTCTTTTCTCCCATGTAATCCCTGTACAAATGCGATGATTAAAAAAAACCCACTGGAGTCCCAGACAAACTGTATGCACATGTATTCAGGCTCATATTTATGACAGCTGCAGAAGTACATCTACCAAATTGATCAATGTTGTGATCGTGCTTAAGCTGTCACCACCATCTTACATTTGACGAAGGGGTGTGGATGGAAAGGGCTGGTTTATTGGTTTTAAGATAGATTCACGTGGAACATCTTATCACCTCAAAGTGTTACTGAAAACAAATTCGGACTTGCATTTTTTGTATTAGTTAAATTTTTTGTTTTTCTGTTTTTGATAACAAATTCCAGGTTTTGTTTGGCATGTGTGGTGGCTGGCTTATCTGTTTCTTGCTGACCATTTTTGATGTCCTGCCTTCAAAGTCTGATAAGTATGGCTTCTCAGCCAGAACTGACATAAACCTGGATGCTGTTACAAACTCTCCATGGTTCCATGTGCCTTATCCTGGTAAGTGAATAGGTATCATACTTCAAACAGTTCTTTTATTTTACTATATATATTTTTTTGTTTACTTTTTTAATTTTCTTGAACACCTTTCCTCAGAAATCTTTAATTTTAGTAGTTGTAATACCCTTATTAGGGAAACTACTTTGCTTCATAAACATATAAAGTTGCAAAAGTCCTGTAGTAACTGCATTATTAAAGATCTGCCATTTATTGCTGTATTACAAATAAAGTAAAAATTCTTAGAAGCTATGTTACCATTTGGCTTGCTTGCTTCTCATTAGGCTACTCTTGATAAACATGCAAAACTGTGGTTAGTTAACCCTTTAAGACCTACCATAGAACCAAGTCCGCCAGAGCTTATATTATATTTTTACATGCTGTAGTGCCATGTTTGGGAGCATTTCAAGTTGCTATACATCAATACAACCATTATAGCCCAAATTTTAATAATATGTATGCATTAAGTGCATAGTAATTGTTGGAAAAAATGTTGAAAGAAGTTTTTGCTTTTTTAACATATAATACAGAAATTTAAGAGGCTTATCCCTCAAAACTGTAAATACAAAAAAGTTGCACAAAAAAGTTTCGAACCACAGGAAATTTATTTTGAGTGTCTTCATAGTTTTATTTTTGAAAGACAACAATTTTTATGTACTGCAGGAAAAACGAAAATAAATATTATAGTGCAAATTTGCAAAAAAAAAACAAAACAGCATATGCATCAAAATAAACTATTTCCAGCAGTGCAATATGAGTCCTAAGCATCCCAGAAACGACACAGAAAGTCATAAAGTCAAACATAATTTTTAAAAACACCAGTATAGGCTTACAAGGCCCTGATGGTAAAAAACTACATTTCCGAGATTATGACGTCACTCCCTGTTTCGGGCAGGTAATGGCGGACATGTGATAGTTCTATTCCAGCGTAGGAAGTGTTACGAACAGCTGATCGGATCGGCAATATTATGTTTTTGTTGCTGCAAGCGCTTTTTATGCAATTTTTGAAAAGCTACATGTGGAAGGAAACCGTGACCTAGGAAAAGCTGATGGCAGATGTAAGTACAATTTCATATGCAAAAAAAAATATTGCGCTAGCTTACGTGGTTGCAGTTCTACCAGGATTTAAAAATAGTTATGCAAAACAGAGCGTGCCTGCTCCGACCGGCTTTAAAGGGTTAAATGTTGCACAATTGCTGTTAACTGATTCACACATGATTAGATATGAAACTAGACATTTATTTATGATTGATTGCTTAATGCGTATCTGCTAAAACCTTGGTATGTAAGTGAAGAGTGACAGATTGATTGACTGTATCATTCAGGGCATAACACCTTGTGCCAACAGTCAGTTTGCTCTGACTGGTAAGAAGTCATGTGGGATTTGACTGCGGAATGTCTGTTTTGTAGTTTGAAAGAACACATGTTTGTAGAGGATTGGGACCTTTTTTAAAAACAAAAACAAAAAGGAGATCAAAGCAAAACAATATCATTTTGTAACAGGAACAATATATAGTCCAGGTAAGGGTATAAAATGCATTTCCCTGTTGGAAACTCACAGGTTCAGCTTGATGTCAGTATTTTTTTATTCAATAAACATGCTGGGAAAGTCAGCTGTAGGACTTTAGTTGTTTGCACCTATCATCTGCTGTTTACAGATGGTACAAAAGTATCCATATTACTGAGTTCAGATATTCCAATCGTGGCCATAGGCATATAAAATCAAGGATGAAAGCGTACAAACTGCGTCTACTCCTTCTTTTCTTCTGAACGAATGGGTCACTCTCAGGAGCTCAGGGAATTCCAGCATGACACAGTTATAGGATGCGACCTGTGCAACAAGTCCAGGCTTGAAATTTCCTCGTTATTAACTATCCCACCGTCAACTGCTACTGGTATCATAACAAAGGTGAGGTGCATAGTGTATATATGACATCAACCTTCTGGCCTCACTACAGACTTTCAAAGTTCATGTGGCCTTCAGAATAGTGCAGTGTATATAGAAAAGCAATTTATAGAGAATGTCATGGAATTGGTCTCAATGGCCAAACAGCTGCATCCAAGCCAGTCACAACGCAAAGTACAGAAGGGGACAAGGTCCCATAATTTGTACGTTGGTCCATGAGTCCTGACCTCAACCTGACACCTTTGGGATAAATTAGAGCAGAGACTGTGAGCCAGGCCTTCTCTTACAACATCAGTGTCTGAGTTCACAAATGCACTTCTGGAAGAATGTCAAAAATTCCCGGAACACTTGAAGCTGTTATAGCTGCAAATGGTGGGCCAACATTATATTAAACCCTTTGCATTAACCATGGGATGTCACTCAACTTGATGTGTGTGAAGGCAGATGAGCAGATTAGCAAATACTTTCCGATACTTGCCAAACAAATACACAAAATTGTTTGAAATGATGGCAGGAAAAACACTTGCCTTTTAATGATGTCCTGTTGTGAACCCAAAGAATTTTGACAGCACATGATAGTTTTTAATGTTAGAAGTTGAAGACTGAAAGCAGTATTAACTGCAATAGTGCAGACAATGATAAAGATAGTGAATGTTAAATAAGTTTAATTAGCATGTTTGGGTTTTATTGGGTTTAGCTGGTGATAATCTGAAGATTTTGGTACAGTAGAAATAGATATATACCTTTTATACCTTTAATCAATGGAAAATTGCTCAGGAGATTGCTAAAGGAAGAGATTTCCCCAAATATCAAGGAACTGAAAACAAAGTTTTATGTTGCAAATTCTCAAAGATGCTGGGAAAATCATCTTTTCAATAGCTAAAAAAGTCTACTGGCGAGCCAGATTTAAAAATAAATGCATCCTCTAGTGCAGCGATGGGGAACTCCAGGCCTCAAGGGCCGGTGTCCTGCAGATTTTAGATATCACCCTGGACCAACACATCTGAATGAAGTGATTAGTTCATTGCCGGGCCTCTGGAGAACTTCAAGACATGTTGAAGAGGTAATTTGGTCATTTAAACCAGCTGTGTTGGATCAAGGACACATCTAAAACCTGCAGGACACCGGCCACTGAGGCCTGGAGTTCCCACCCCTGCTTTAGTGCCTGTTGTGTTAAAGTTGTGACAATGTTGTATGTAATGACAAGCATTTTAAATTTGATTCTGGATTTAACAGGGAACCTATGAAGAGAAGCCAGTTTGGGTGAAATATGCTCTCTTTCTAGTCCCTGTCACTACTCTCGTTGCAGCATTATGGATCAACTGAAAACTTCTCTGAGAGCTTTTAAGACATCCTGATAATAACAAATGACAGTAGTCCAGTCTAGAAGTAATAAGTGTATTTACTACTTTTTCAGTATCTGAGACAGAATGTTTCTAAATATTATAGATGTTGCGCAAATGAAAGAAACCACATATCTTGGTCAAAAACAACTCCAGGATTCCTGCCAGTGTTACTGGAGGTAATGCCATCCAGAGTAAGCATCTGGTTGGACACCATATTTGTAAGATTTTTAGGGTCAAGTGCAATAACCCTAGTTTCATCAGAATTTAGAAGTAAAGTGAAATTAGACGTCTTAGAACTCTTTATGTCTTTAAGACACTCCTGGAGTTGAACTAATTGGTGTATGTCATTTGGTTTACATATCCAACTTTTTCTGTATTTAAAAAAAGTATGCTATGCCTAATGGAATAATACTACCTAATGGAAATGTGTACATTGACACCCAAACTCAAGGACTTTCTTGACTCAAATGACAACGGAGAGGTCTCTGATTCAACACTGTGGGAAACATTAAAAGTCGTAATGCGTGGTGAAATTATTTCCTATAGCTCAGGCCTCAAAAAGGAGAAGATGAAGCAACTTTCTGAAATTAATAGTGCCATTCCTCATCTAGAAAGGGCTTACCAGAATTCTAAATCACCTGAGGATTACAGAGAGATATTAAAACTCAAATACGAATACAATGCAATTATGAGTGACCAGTTTACCAACCTACTACTGAAGCTGAAACATAAACATTTTGAGATAGGAGACAAACCCGGTAAATTGCTAGCGCAACAACTAAAAGGAACACGAGCTTCGAGAGCAATTCACAAAATAAGATCTAAATCTGGTGCTTTTCTAACAAGCCCTATAGAAATTAATGAGCACTTCAGAGAGTTCTATCAGGAGTTGTACTCATCCCAGCTGAATGTAACACAGTCTGCCTTAAATGACTTTTTTGATTCTCTCAGTCTGCCTAGGCTAGATGAAGCTGCCAGAGATCAACTCGATTCGGACTTTACATTGCAAGAAGTGGTAGCTGCTATTAAGTCATTTGCATCTGGGAAGGCTTCAGGCCCTGACGGTTTTGGCATAGAATTTTATAAGAAATTTTGTGATGGTCTTGCTCCATTCTTGCTTAGGATGATGCGTGATTCTAAAAACAGGGGCGTACTACCCCAAACTCTGTATGAAGCAAATATTTCGTTAATCTTGAAGAAAGGCAGGGATGACTCAGATCCTGCTAACTTCAGGCCAATTGCTCTTCAAAATTTTGATTGAAAAGTGATAACCAAAATTTTAGCAACTAGACTGAACAAGTACTTGACCTCTATTATTCACCCCGATCAAACGGGATTTATCCCTGGCAGACTTTCTTTTTTCAATGTTAGAGGTCTTCTCAACACCATCTATTCTGACCATGGTAGTTCGGCAGGAGCAGCAATTTTAGCTCTTGATGCACACAAAGCCTTTGATCAGGTTGAGTGGTTTTATATGTTCGAGTCATTACGGAAGTTTGTGTTTGGTGAAATATTTATATCTTGGGTAAAATTTGTATACGCAAATCCAACCTGTTCAGTTCTCACAAATGGAGAGAGGTCGGCGCCATTTCCTTTGCAGCGCTCTGTTCAGCAGGGCTGCCCCCTGTCTCCTGCTCTATTTTCTCTGGCATTAGAGCCTCTTGCGATTAAGATAAGAGCACATCCAAAAATACAAGGGCTCTTGGTCAGAGGGGTTGAAACTGTTATTAGTTTGTACGCAGATGATGTACTATTATACCTGCGTAATGCAGAAGACTCTGTACCATCCCTTCTTAATCTGGTCACCTCATTTGGCAAAATTTCAGGATATACAATTAACTGGGTTAAAAGTGAACTTATGCCTTTATCTAAAACCGGTTCACCGAGTTTTCTTTGTAACGTTCCATTCAAGATAGTTAACGACCATCTCACATACCTTGGATTAACTGTTCCTAAAGATCCCAAATTAATTTTTAGCTTGAACTTTGCTGAATTCTTGTCAACATTAAAGCATAACATCGAGTCATGGAAAATTCTTCCCCTATCTATGGTTGGTCGTATAAATTCCATAAAAATGGTCTCTCTTCCTCGATTTCTGTATCTTTGCCAAAATCTTCCTATTTATCTCACTTCCTCTTTCTTTAAGGAGTTGGACTCAATTATTACTTCTTACATATGGAACAACAAGAATCCTAGGATTTCAAAACTACATCTACAAAAATCCAAATTGGAGGGAGGTCTGAGTTTACCAATATTTAAACATTATTACTGGGCTGCAAATCTAAGAGCCTTGACCTTCTGGCAGCAGACATCCTCAGATCTTGGTGATTTCAACATCCCCCTTTGGGTTAAAATGGAGGCTGGCATTGTAAGGGGCTCCTCTCTAGAGGCCCTGCTTCTCTCAAAAGTAGGGAGGGCTGAGAGTCTTAAGAAACTGGGGTTTGTTCTGAAACAATCTGTGCGGATTTTAAACCAAGTTAGAGGTTTTTTTGAACTGCCAAACTCCTCTGTGCAGGCACCAATATGTGATAACCATGCCTTTTTGCCTCCTTGGGATGATAAATCCTACTATGTTTGGAAGGAGAAGGGCTTACTCAAATTCAAAGATCTTTATATAGATGGAAAATTTGCATCATTTTATCAACTTAAGCAAAAATTTGATTTACCGCATTCACATTTTTACCGTTACATTGTAAACAGGTCCAAGCACTGAACCATTGAAACTCAATAATTAACCTTTGTGTGTGAAGAGGACTTGCCATTTACATGGACAAATTAAAGTCTGTTAGATAGACATGATTCAAACCACTGCATTGCAGTACCTCTAATACCCAAAGCATGGGAAATTCTCTGTAATAAAACATTTAAAGTGAACAGTATCAAATGGTGCACTGAGGTCTAGCAGGACAATTCAATTCAATTTTCTTTATTGTCCCACAAGGGGAAATTAGACAAGCACACAGATGAGTCCATTGTCAGAGGGCATTAAAAGTTCATTTGTAACGTTAAATAATGCTGTTTCTCTATTGTTTCATAGCTGAAACTCTTCAGTTCTCTTTACAACTACTTTTTCAATAATTTTTGATATTGGGGTAGGACTTTGAGTAGTCTTGTGGGAATGGGCTCTAAAAGACATGCCGATGGTTCAGAGGAAGTAATTACTGAAGTTAAGTAAAAAAGATCAATTAGGGAAAGAGTCAATATATAAATACAATCTAGTAAATAAATCAGAAGTAAGGCTACATTAAAATATGCAGATGAGATGCTGACTTAGTCTGATACTATGGTTAAATTATACATCTTGCTGAAGGCTGACGACAGCTTTCCTATTTTAGATGGAAGCGAACAGGGGTGAACCTAAAGGGGAGCATGGTGTGTGTTTCAAGGTTTTCGTAACATTGATTGAAAGTTAAGTAATATAAAATACTGTCTCAATTAAATTGCACTAATAATTAAAAATATAAATATTAAAGCTTTTTGCACAAGCCAATAAAAATATACATGGGCCTGTAAAACTCCACTGACCTGAGGGATTTTAGGTTGGACCATGAATTATTGTTAATATTAATTAACGTCTACAGCATCATAACATCTTGTTTTCAACAGCACAAAAACTTTGAAGAACAGAGCAAACTTCAGAATGCTGATATGGTTGTGTCTCTTCATTCACTCATTCACTTGCACACTTTAACGCATTGCAACACATGTACAAAAACTCATAAAACCTTCCAAAATGAGTAAAGATTTTAAAAAAAAAAGATACTTTAGTTTATACATATATATCTTATTTTATTTGGGTTTGACTCTACTTGAAAGTGTTTATAATTTTTTGCATTTAAGAAAATGTTCTCTTTAAAAAAATTTATTTAAATGAAATGTAATATGACATGTGAATGCAAGTGAGCTCCAACAGACCAGGTGTCATCATTGCCGACATGATTTAAAGTATCCAGAGTGTTAAAATAAGTTAAACAATTAAAAAGCACAAAAATGGTTTGATCAAACTAAACTAATGGGCACTCAAACTACAATTTTTTACTCAGGCAAATAAATAAATCTTCATGTTTATTAAAACTGACAATGACTGATTCATCTATTAGGTACTGTAGCCACTGACATGATTTCAGTCTTCCTGTTCCTATAGTTTAGGAAAGCTTAAGTATGCCTCCTCTGCATCCACAGGCCAATGGGGTGTGCCCACAGTGAGTTTTTCATCAGTGCTGGGTATGATGGCCGGGGTCTTGGCATCGACCATGGAATCTATTGGTGACTACTATGCTTGTGCTCGCTTGTCTGGTGCCCCTCCACCACCCATACACGCTGTCAACCGAGGCATCGCCGTAGAGGGTATTGGCTGCATACTTGCTGCTCTGTGGGGAACTGGAAATGGCACCACTTCCTACAGCCAAAACATTGCTGCACTGGGCATTACAAAGGTATATACAATCTCCTATCTGGTTGTAGATCTCTTGAAGAAGGCAATTTGTAAGATTTTTAATTCATTTGATTCAAAACATAACAAACATTTGGGGGACTTTTAAACCTTTAGTCCAAAAGAATAGTAAAGAAAAGACAGGAATGCAAGGAGGAAGACATGGGGCCTTACAGTATATGGTTTGCCTGTTAAACCCAGTGTGCTAAACTGGTACCCTCAAGTGGTTTATCAATCACACACACACGAATTCATATGTGACAAGACAACTCTTTGTCATTCCCAAGGAAAAATGGAACAATGGAACCAATTAGTAGATGACCCTGTATTTTATCCAAATTTCCTGAATTTAGAATGCTCTTGTAACCCTGGCATGTCCTGTCTTGTAATACCATCCGAGAAACATGGACTCCGACGACCATGTTCCATGCACATTCATGGTTAAATAAAGAGTAAATCTCAAGTGGTCCAATGAAAGTAGGAAAGTCTGCAAGATTGAATCCGTAACAGAACATGCTTGGTGGAAAGCCAAAATCTTTTAACCTGTTAAGTAATAGGGTTTGGATGTCTTGCAATGATCGGCACTTTATTTATTCTGCTCATTTGTCCGAAGCAGAGCTACCTGTGTCACCCTCCAGAGCCTTGGACATGTGCAGAAATTGTGTTGCACAGACAGTACAGAACACTCTCCTTCCACAGAGGGAAACGAGGGTGGCTGATCGCCTAGTTGCTGATGATGTCAGGGAGTTATGGGCATATTCTTCCCATGCTATCTGGGAGCTCCAGGTGGAGGGATTCATGGACACTGTGCATCAGAGGGAGGCCTCCAGCTTCTGGTTTATCCTCTCCACCTGGTCATAATGTCTGCAGGTAAAACCCAGAAAAAAGACTAACCTGGGTTCCCAGGGCAGAGCAAAACTCTTTTCACACCCAGGAGGTAATTTGAGGACCACAATCCAACAAGATGTCCCAAAGAATTCTCATGCTGAGTCATTACTTGGGCATCCAGTGAGGATACAGTTTGGGTAAGCTGATGAAGTAGGCTGCTTTAGAAAAGTATAGTAAGGATGACTATGTTATCTGGCGAGCGGGGAAAGGCCAGGGCAAGGCCTCCCAGGTGTAGGAAAAGATCGGAGGAGTCCCGTGGGTGGAGAGCTGCAAACCTTATTTTTAGCACAAACCTGGCAAGCAGACACATATTCCTGGACATCATTCTTGAGAGAGGACCAGCAGAACAGACATTGGATGAAGGTTATTGTCCAGTCAGTGCTGGAATAGCAAGTGAACCAGACCATATGCCACCAATTACTTTAGACTTGATAGTGAAACAGTTTTCTTTCTCCAACTCTCATGCATAAATCCAAAGAGAGAATGATGACATTTACACAGGTGAACAGATTTACGGAACAGGGATGAGTATCTACCACTAAGAGTTAAACGATCAAGCATAGACACAAAAAACTGATATTCTGTCTCCACAAAAATGTCAGCCACCGATTGTGCAAGTTCCCCCACCTAAAATGATGACAGAGGTCAGTAATTTGCACCAGAGGTACACTTCAACTGTGAGAGACAGAATGTGAAAAAAAAAAATCCATGAATCCACATGGTAGGATTTGTAAAGAATTTATTCGTAAATTAGGGTGGAAAATAAGTATTTGGTCACCTCAAACAAGGAAAATCTCTGGCTCTCACAGACCTGTAACGTCTTCTGTAAGAAGCTTTTCTGTCCCCCACTCGTTACCTGTATGAATGGCACCTGTTTGAACTCATCATCTGTATAAAAGACACCTGTCCACAGCCTCAAACAGTCAGATTCCAAACTCCGCCATGGCCAAGACCAAAGAGCTTTCGAAGGACACCAGGAAAAGTATTGTAGACCTGCACCAGACTGGGAAGAGTGAATCTACAATAAGCAAGCAGTTTGGTGTGAAAAAATCAACTGTGGGAGCAATCATCAGAAAATGGAAGACATACAAGACCACTGATAATCTCCCTCAATCTGGGGCTCCACGCAAGATCTCATCCCGTGGGGTCAAAATGATCATGAGAACGGTGTACATTTAAAACAATCAAAAGAGATGACAAAAAGCCAGGGAATAAAAGTGGTTTACACCACTTTTAGTGGGTTACACCAACCAAAGACTTCATGGGGTCCCCATATTAAATGGGATGTTTCCAGCAGGGTAATATACTATGTCCCAATGTAGTTTTACTTCCTGCTTTATAGCTTCTGGGTTCATCTGAGGTCACAGGAAGAGACCAAGTGCGGGAGGGGAAGAACTCTTATAATTTAATAAAGTTGATTTTAGAGGGTTTATGAAGAAATAGATTTATTGTTGTAATATGTATTGATTACACCACAGAGTTCATGTTGCCAGTAAAGAGTAGTAGTAGAGGTTTGAATATAATTATGTTCATCTTACCTACCGAATGGAATAGTCCAGAGGAGAAATCGTTTGGTTAAGTGGACTATTTAAGCAGAACTCGGGTGTTTGAGAAGAAAGGTTCAGGTCAGTGTAGCTGTGTGCAGTTTGACCTTAATTTCTGTTGATTTAAGTTCAGTTATGTTTATTTGAACTGAGTTAGTTATAGAGTTGAGTTTCTTATTTGTTTTTTTGTAAATATTACTTGGGTCACAAAATGGTGAATAAATCACTTGCTACACTGGGCAGCATCAGTCTCCTGCACTTCTTTGACCGCTTAAGTCAAGTCCTACCACACACCATTTAAAAAGAACACCTTTGGGAGATTTTCACCAATTACTGAAAGGGACCAAAACCAAGTTTACTTTTGACTACTGACAACATTCAAGATGGATTTATATGTATTATGTATATATGTTTGTTTGTGCATTGGTTAATGGTAATCTAAATCCACTTGTATTCATGTCTTGTTTGAAAGTGCAGGTTACTGTATTTTCAATAAAAAAAAAATTGCGATTAGTATGTACACACCTGTTAAAAACATGTACACCCTGTCTTATCACAGGACAATTTCAGATATAGTTATTATTTAATATTATGGCATCGAAACGCTTAACCACTCTTCCTGTGTTGTCATGTCACATGTCCAGTGAGACCCAGAGATTCTTCCAACATCCTTGCAAAAATAATGATGGTTTAAGTTTTCTTGTGTACACCTTACAGTGAGTCCCTGTGCTCTGTTTTTATGTTAGGTTGGTAGCAGGCTGGTCCTCCAGACTACTGGAATTCTGATGATCATCCTGGGAATCTTTGGAAAGTTTGGAGCAATTTTTATCACTATCCCAGATCCAGTCATTGGGGGCATGTTCCTTATTATGTTTGGAATGATTGCAGCAGTTGGGATATCCAACCTCCAGGTAAACACAATTAATTTCACAGCATATCAAATTGCATTTGTCTTTTATTTGGTGCACCTTTTTTTTTTATTCAGAGTAACTAGAGCATAGCTTAATAAGATGCCCTAATCCTTAACCCCTTCAAATAAAACAACACTGCTAAACAAAACACCATCTCTATTAAGGCTTTCTTGGACTCACTGGTTCCACAGTGAGCGGTGTTGTTAAATCTATCTAGAATACAGGCAAAAACAGAAAATAAGGATCATGTGTGTAATAAAAACTTTATTTGCATTTTATTGTCATTAACTTGTCTACCATTTGGCACTTTAAGCAACCTTTAAGAAATCTGCTGCACAAAAATGTCTCATTATTGTAAAACTGCTTTGATGTTAGATATTGAGCTTGGCAGTTGTTAGCGCACTGTAAGTGTAATCCGTAATACATGAAATTCAATGTAAGTACAGTAATATGTGATTTCAAGGTTAGGTTGAGTGAGTAAGGGTCAATAGTAATCACCTTTCCCGTATCAAGCTATTTCAGTTTGATTACAGCAAACATATTGGACAAACATACAGACAAGAAGATAGTAATTTAATGATATTCCAAAAAAGGTTTTTGAGTGTTTGTTTTTCAACCACAAACATATTTCTTAATGCCTAAATGAGAACTGAAAACTAAACACTGAATTTTTAGCTGTTATAAAAGTCTCCGACTTTGAGACTAATTAATTGTTGAAAAACATAAGTGAGACGGCGTTTAAGGAAGTACTTGCTAGAAAATACAGTAAATGCAAATACCTTAACTGAATTGTTGCACAACTGTATTATTAGTTCCACCCCTCTATGGTATTTTTTGGCTAAAGAACTTGCTCTATCAGTTTTTGTAAAGATGAAAAATGACGGTGTTTTCCCAAGCTATATTTTGTAGCTATTTCGTTTTGTACTGTTGTAACACTATTGTGTATCATGTTTCATTATTATAGGCAGGTAATATAGTCTTATACATACATCCGCACACACACAGATATATATATATATATATATCTACACTGACCTCACTGTGACCCGTGTTAACCTGTCATGACCAAATAAATGTGAATCCCATACCAAAATAGAATTTGGGTCTCTTTTTTTCCTGATTATTCCTAATCTCATTTTAGTGAACTTCCACAGCAGAAATGTCAGCTAGCTGAAACAGATCAACAAAATAATGGCTTGCATCTGAGAGTCAATAAACCAGTTTTAGCAAATTTGTATCACATTATTTCTGTCTCTCTTTCTTTCTTTCTCACCCTATTTCACACACCATCCTGTCTTCTTTTCTCTCTCCAGTATGTGGATCTTAACTCTTCACGTAACCTCGTCATCCTGGGCTTTTCAACCTTCAGCGGTCTGGTTCTACCCACCTGGTTTCAATCCAATCCTGGCATCATTGACACTGGTGATTTTAACACACACGCACACACACACACACACACACACACACACACACACACTTTTAGGGCTTTAAAATCAGTGTTTGCATGAAAGTATAGAAATACAGTTAAAATAATCTACATATTGACTGTGAAACATAGTCTGTCAAAAAGTGTGTGTGTGGGTTTTTTTAATGTCAAGTGGTACCATCCAACCTGTGAAAACACACTCAAAGTCTTCTTTGCTTGAATTTACTGAACAAATTAAAATTATTATTTATTTTATTTTTTTTAGTTTACTTTAGTTTTACTCCAGAGCTTCCCAAAGTGTGGGGCCCGCCCACGTATGGGGGCACGGTATGAAAAGGAGAAAAAAAAAAACATGCTTGGACACTGCTAGCACAGGTGAAGCATCACTGAATATGTTTCCAAACCAACTTCATTCTAAGCCAAAGACTAGAAAATATGGTGAAGCATATCTGCCCTTTGGTTTCACCTGCACAAGTGGCAAGGTAGGTCTCCACTGCAAAACTGCTTTTCCCTTCGTTGGGAGCAGCGCTGGGCTCTTCAAATCACGGACAAACAATATCCCACATTCTTGATTTTTAGTTCACAAACACTTGTTGTAATGACTAAACTTCTCCTGACATTTTGGAGATGTTAGCTATTTATACAGTAAAGTTACAGTGGGATACAAATAATATCAGACAGATCCTGCCACGATTTGTTCCCTCAGTTCAAATCACAGACAAACAGTATGCCACAGTTGTTTATGTTTTTAAACCCATTTTGCACAGAGAGGCATTTATTGAAAAATGTATTGATAGCAATGTTGAATATTATAACACAGGAAAAAAAAACAACTACACGTAAAATAATCACACCGTGACACCTCTGCCTTTCTAAATAGAGGGACAGTAACTGCGTGTGTGTAAGCGTGCGCATAGTCAGATTAACAGTAACAGTATTTTGTCTCTATCTGCAATTCATCTCACGTAAACAATAACGTGGCGCACAGTGTAATGTGAAATAAAGCACATACCTTTGACGTTGCGTGACGAACTTTGTATTCCTCGTCCACACGTAAACGCAAAAAAGGAGTTTTAAAAAATCTCAGTTTTCGGTGATTCGAAACATCATTTACGTGTGGACGAAACAGCTGCGTTTTCAAAAATACCCGTGTAGGTGCTGACGTTAGCGTAAAAGAGTTAGTAGTTTACTTTCTTTCTACCTGTAATTTATTGCAAATTACTTGTATTTGCTTAATTGTTTACTAAATGTTTGAGGTGTGAAATAAACCGCAATGGAGCAAAATATGGGTGTGTGTGGTTGGAGGATGTGTTTGTGCGTGCACGCACGCCCGGGGGGCACGAACATTTTTCTTGTAAAACAAAGGGGGGCCCAGCAAAAAAAGTTTGGGAACCGCTGGTTTTACCTGATTCACATGTGTTCTTTTAATACGACACTCCGTTTTGGCAGGCTAACGTCAGGACTTGGTTCAACTTTTTAAATAAAAATTAGGAGTTACTTCCACCGAAAGGTTGAGTGGAGCTATTTGACATAACTTTTTAAAGTAAATCCACAAACCTTTTTTTCTGTTGAAAGAACATAAATTACTCCAGTAAACTAAAAAAAAAATATTTGTTTGTTGAATCTAACTAAATAGTATTCTAAACCAGCCAATAGTGAGGTTTCATTTTTTGAGCTCATCCTTGAGCTTGTGTGCCTGTTTGTGTTTTATTGTTTTTGTGTGTGAAGTTTAAACTACTTTAATTTCTGGATTACTGAGCTGATTTATTATTTTAATATTGAGTTTGACTCCTTGTGATATTGTTGAATCTTTGATATCTAATTCCAATATAACATGATGTTCTTATAATAAGTTTCTGTTTTGGCTCATAATTTCTTTGTTTTCTCAGTATCCTGAGCTTTTATGTTATTTTTCTGGTTCCTGTCTAGTTTTCATGCCTCATTCTGTGATTTATTGTTGTGGTTGTTTCCTGAATCGTTTCTTCTTCTGTCTCACTCCTCTGCTTTACATCACTGGAGTAACACCGCTCCTTTGTCTGTGTTTTCATGTTAATTTGACTCATCTTTTCTCTCTGTTTAGTATTTTATGTTATTTTCTTTTTTCCCCTCTTGTGTCCTGTGTTAGTTCTGTGTGTTTAGTTTTACCTATGTCTTGTTCCTTTGCAGTCTGCATGTAATCAACTCTTTTTGTATATATTGTTAAAGCATTAGTTGTGTTGCTCCTGTGCAGCTCTGTGTTTTCTTGCTTATTGCTTGTCTTAATTAGTGATGTGTCAGTCAAGAACGAAACGGCTCTTAGAGCAGACTCTTTGAAGTGAACGACGCAAGCCGGGGTTTTCTTCTTTCTCTCACCCTCTCTCTTGCACTTTTTTTCCCGCTTCACTCCACACGCGAGCCTTGTGCTTTGCGCTGGGAAGAGGGGGGAGGGGCGGTAGTTACACTCGCCAGGCACAACAACGTCACATTAGAAAGGTGTAGTGATCATCCACAACTATTTTCAGTTGCGAAAGATAAAGGATTCAAAGTTTATTCATGCAGGCCCATATGAAAGAGAATGTGCATCTTCTTTTTGTTTTCATACTTTTTCATATTTATATTTTATTGTGTTGTGGTTTGCAGTGTTTTGTGTTGTTTCACTTTTAATTTGTTTAAAAGGAAAAAGCTGAAAATTTAAATAGTTAAAAGTTGAAATGTTAATAGTTGGTTTTTGTATTGTATGATTTATTTATTACATTTTATGTGGAGTGAATAAATAAAAGTCTATTTACAGTGGCCCCTAGAGACAAAGCACGTACAAACTCCAAAACACGTACAAACTCCAAAACACGTACAAAACACAACAGAAGTGCTCCAGGATGCTAGGGGGAGTGTTGAGCTTTTGTTACCTAGTGGCTACACAAGCCAACAAGTACCAATGACCAGATTTGGTGTGTGGTAGTCTTGTCCTTTAGCGGGCAACCAGCGGCGGTACCAGTACGCTGCTGTAGGTGCCGCAGGTTCTCTTGCTTGACCAGCGATTATCTTCCACGCTTTTCGATCTAAGGCGATGGTTCTTACAGGTGTGTGGTAGTAACAGGTAAATGAACCTTTTTTTTAAATTATTTGAATATATATGAGTGCTTGTGTATAAATACACAAACAATACACATATACTTTCAATTGTGTAATTTAAGTGATCGAGGTAGTGTTTTGGAAGTTCAGTTAACGCTAGAAATGTGCTTTGGACTTTTGTTTATAGCCAATATTAAAGACTCATCATTTGTTGTTCAAATCAGCCTTCTATGTCCTACATTTGGATTCTGTGTCTATACTCTGTACACCTTGCTACAGTCGACCTCACTGACTGAGTCATTAACTGAGAAACTGTTGTCATTTATATATGTATATATGTTATTCTTAGGACATGAAAAAAAAAATCAATCCTGTACACAGTACAGTCCTCCAAAATAGTACAAAGTATGGTTAGGGCCTATCAAGCTAGAAATATGCTGCAGAACTAACCTGCTCGGAAGCAGGTTATAGCTCAGTAGCGTATAAAATCGCTGCTCACTGACCAATCAATTTTCCAGAAATTAGTTTCAGATGCATAGATAGCAAAAGTTGTTTTAAGAGTAACTGATATCATTGTCTGCAGCAACTGTGTCACTGCTGTATCATGTTATTAATGTCTTTATATTTTAAATAGTTTTCCTTTCGTTTGTGAAATCAGACACTTTGTTGATAAAACAAAAATCTGACCATGTTTCTAATGGTTGGTCATATGCCACGTCTTTCATGTGAATGTGTGCATAGCTAGATTAGGAAACCTTGGGCTGACTGAGCTAATAACCACCTTCGTGTGACTGCTTAACACAATTGGCAGGGTAAGTGAAGCCAGGTATTGAATATCATGTGTATGCTGAACTTGTTTCATAGTACATGGCCCAGCTCTGGCACCCCGATGCCCAGGTATCACATGACGAGTGCAGAGAAAAATTCAAGCACAAAAGATATCTGATACCTATAGAGACAGCAAAGAATGTAGCTTGCTAACACACTGTACTATTTTAGCTTATTCAGCCTGGTTTATAATAATTTATTTCACAGCATAATATCGACAAAATAGGACGATAAAATACACAAGATGGCACATGCACCTGCTCTTTTGTCTATTTAAGCCCACACAACCCATGTCTGTTTGTTATGGCACAGCGCAAGTTTGTTACTATGCATCAATGAGCATTAAAAATGTTGGAAAGCAGCAGTTTCACGTCATTTTCTTCTCAGTTCAGTACACAGTAGCCACTGTACCATGACAAACTCTTTGTCTGTACCCACACTGGGTGTGATCTATCATTTATTTCACCACCTCCTTTATGATTTTATCTAACAGGAATCACAATAGAAAGTGCTCTAAACATCTGGTGCATAATTGAAGAAACTAAGCTATGGTGCTGTAATAACATTTATAATTGTTCAAATAGTTGTGCTGTGGGACACTTTTGTAAGATTTCTGCTTGAGATATTACACAAGTTTGACCATTTTATTTTTTATTAATCAAAACAAAATCAGTAAACAATGACAAAAAATAAAACATCCAGTGACATAGTCCTCTTACGGTGAATTCCAGGCTGTGTTCCCACAGACACTTAGAGATTACCCTTGAAAAGATGCAGTAGTTTTGCCAGCCTAAGCTCCTAATGCCAAGGTGTTCCAAAATCCCACAGGCCCAGATGGCAAACATTTTACATTTAGTCTTTAGGCTAAAGGTGGCAAATTGTCTTTTAGACTAAATGTGTTTTGGGAATCTTTGGTTTTACCTTTATGTACTTAGGACAGAAAAACATTCAGTTTGGAGTCCAGTCTTTTAAGGCATGTTTTATATGGGTTGAATAGGATAAAACCAGCATAACAGCCAGTAGGGGGCACTGATAAGGCTCTTGAGCTTGATTCTTTGTACATCCATGCATGACTTTTCTTCTTAGCACAAGAAGGAGGCTGGGTTGGAATCACATT